CTCCCTGGGGAGCAGAAGGGGTATGAGGTGGGAGGCTGGTGGGGGGTTGCGGGGAGGGGAGGGAGAAGGGATTGACATGTGAAATAAGCTTGTTTCTAATTTGAACTAATAAAAATAATAATAAAAAACTGTTCTACTGTCACCTATTTTGGGTTTTATTTCTTTGCAACATTGCCATCATCATCCCACAAGGACAGACATTGCCTATCAGAAGGCTTCTTTCGAAATATATTCTTAATTAAGCAAAATTCAAGGACAAACATATGGATAGAATTTAACTTTAGGTCTTTGTGGTAGTAAAATGTTGTTTTAAAAATACTTAAAAGCTAACATTTTGCTGAATTCAATTGCTATAAATAATTTCTCTTATGATTATTTTGCATAACCAAAATATAGCTTTGTATACAACTAATGGAGCACAGGCTCTTACTACCAGTTCCCTGGGAATAAGATAGAAGAAGTAAACCCACTAACCACCTTCTGAGCAAGCATTTACCTGGATACCAAAAACTTCCTGTGAGTACTAAATTTAGTGGCTGTAATTCTCTGGGAATTGGGACCAGACTGAGACTTATTATGACTTTCTCTGGTTCCTTGCTAAACTTTACTTGAAAGATACCCACATATACATGTTTATTGAAGCCTACCTATTATAGTTGCAAGATACCAACAGACACATTTATGCTTATCACAGCGATTATTCCCTTTTCTCCCAGGTCCACTGTAGTCTGAAGGCTGAGGAGGCAGCTTCTAAAGTCAGAATTCATAAGTGTAGATCCTGAATCTAGTTATTTTCCGTGGGAGTTAAATAATTCTACTTACTCTATAGCATTATAGTGAATGAACTAAATAAGAAAGTATACTAAAAGGGTTGGCCAGTCTCAAATAATTCAATTTGTTGGGTTGTTGTTGTTCCTACTATACAACTGAGCTTGAACACCCAGAAGACCCCCTTCTCCCACCGCATGTACATAGTGGCCCTGCATGTTCTTTAGAAACACACATAGTAAATTCCTCATTTAAACTACAGCTTTACCACACTCTAGTGGTGTGATGAAGACAAGTCACAGCTCTAAATCTCCTCATCCTTATCCATCAAATGGGGTTGAGTGCCCTAACCACACTGAAATGACTCAATGAGATATTACAAGGCACTCAGCAAAAAGCCCAACAGAATTAATCTAACACGTATGAGATGTTACTGGTGATAAGACCAGTGGAGGGTCAATACAACTAGACCTAGTTCCTATCATTATTCATTAGACACTTCACTTCCCTCAACTACATTAGACTATCACTGGTGTCTCCAGAAGCATGGTACACTCTATTTATATTTATTTATTATTTGTTAATTCCCTTTAAATCCTGACCACAATTTCCCCTTCCTTCTCTTCTCTTGTTCCCTCCCATACCTCCTGTCTGCCCTATCCCTAATCCACTCCCCCTCTGTTTCTGTTCAGAAAGGTGCAGGCCTCCCATGGGTACCAACAAAGTATGCCATAGCAAGTTTCAGTATGACTAAGCCACTCCCCTTGTATTAAGGCTGGGCAAAGCAACCCAGTATGAGGAGTAGGGTCTCAAGAGGCAGCCAAAACATTAGGAACAGCCCATACTCCCATTATTAGGATTTTCATGTGTATACACTACTACACACCTGTCACATATATGTAAAGGGCCTACGTTGGTCACATGCAGACTCTTTGGTTGTTGGTTTAGACTCTGTGAGTTCCTTGAGCCAGGTTAATTGTTTCTGTCAGGTTTCTTGTGTTGTCATTGCTCAACTATGTTCAGATCAGCATTATTCATGATATCCAGAACCTAGAAACAACTTAGATGCTCTTCAACCAAAGAATCAATAAAGAAATATGGTACATGTACACAATGGTGTATTACTCAGCTGTTAAAAACAAGTGGCCTGGGTAGTCTATGGGGCCTCTAACAGTGGAACCAGTGTTTATCACTAAGGCACAAATGGACTTTGGGAGCCTATTCCCTATGGAGGGATACTATTGCAGCCCAGATAGACGAAAGAGGGCCTAGGCCCTCCCCCAAATGATGTGACAGACTTTGATGATTCCCCCATGGACGGCCTCACTATCCTTGGGGAGTGGGTGGGGGGATATGTTGGAGGGAGTTGATGGGGGTTATGGGAGTCTGGGAGGGCAAGGGAATCATGGGACTGATCAGTAAAATAAGTTGTTTCTAAAATAAATTAAAAAAAAAAAAACAAGGACACCAGAGAACTTGAAGACAAATAGATGGAACTAGAAAAAAGTCATCCTGAATAAGGTAACCCAGACAGCGAAAGATAGATATGGTATACATTCACTCCTGAGTGGATATAGCTGTAAAGGAAAGGGTAACCATGCTACAATTCACAGACCCAGAGAGGTTAGGGAATAAGGAGGACCCAAGAGGGGATGCCTGGATCTCCCTGGGAAGGGGAAATAGAAGAGATTTCCTTGATGGACTGGGGGCAAATGGGGATGGGAACTTGAGGAATCCAGTTAAAGGGGTGAACAGAGAAGGGAGTACTCAAAGAGACTAGGAGAGGGGCATGTCAGAGTCAGGTAGAAACCTGAGGCAAGGGAAATTCCACTAATCTACAAGGATGACCCCAGCTAAGACTCGTAGCAATAGTGGATATATAGCCTGACCCAGCCATTGCCTGTGATCAGATTAGTGACTACCCCAACTGTCATCACAGAGCCTTCATCCAGTCATTGGTGGAAACAGATGCTTTTGTCATATGGGTGTACAAAAGAATCTCCCATTAGATATTTTCTATTCCTATATAATAGTGGTCCTCAACTTTTCTAATGCCGTGATCCTTTAATACAGTTTCTCATGTTGCAGTGACCCCCAACCATAAAACTACTTTTGTTGATACCTCATAACTGTAATTTTGCTACTGTTATGATTCAGAATGCAAATATCTGTGTTTTCTGATAGTCTTATATGACCCCTATTAATGGGTTGTTTGACTCCTGGCAGGGGTCATGATCCACAGGCTGATAACCACTGCTATCTAATGCAATTTTGTTCATTATCACTCTTTGCTGAAATCTCTTTCTCTCCTTCACAGGGCTGGGTGTCTTCTTGTTAATCTGTACATCTTGTTTGCCTTGACTGCTGGGAAATTGGTCTTCCACTTGTGAACTACCATTAGGCAAAGTCCATAGTTCATAGTGCATAGTTTTCTGGTGTATTTACCTTGGGAATGGTTTTCCTTCCCTTTCTTTGTTATTGTCTCTGAATCATTCTGTTCCTTCCTCTTCCTATTCTATATATTTTTAAGTACACCTAAATCTTCTGTGTCACTACAGCATATATGAATAAAATATCCAGAGGGTCTCCACAGCCACTCTTTGTTTGTATTTATTGTGACACATTCCATCAGATTTCCTTAGTCTTCTAGTTAGTTCTCAGTGTACTTGGTTCTACTTCTCATCCATGGCCTCACTGTAAAGACTGAGTCTTCTTTTCCATAATGTATTTTTTGGCAAGTCACCCATCATTCAAACATGTGGCATATACAATATTGCTACATGCATCTGGCCACTGGCTATAAGTAGTGCTTTGACTTCCATAAATCAATAGACACACATTTGAAAAGAGCTAATATGTTCATCCCAAATGTTGTTTTAAAGACATTTCCTGTTCACTTTATTCAACTACTACTCGGAACATATTGATTAGTGGAAACATTTCTTCCTATCATATGGATTATCTGTAAGACAATAATAAATATTCGCTTACAGAGAAAGGCAAGGAGACATGCAAAAAGAAAGAATATGGCCTAAGAAACACATTCTCTATTCAATGTTAGCATGCTGTAACTCACAGGGTTGAAAATGAGAGGCTCTAAACTGATAAGGGCAGGAGACTATGATGCAATTGAGATGGAATAATGCCTAGATAACTAATGCATTTATTAGGTAAACAGCAGTGCCAAAGCACCTGGCATGCTCTTCCATAGGCTAATTTCTCTCCAGCATACAGCACACACTTTGTGAGTATTCATAAGCCCTTGGCTGGATAGATACTTCGGTTAATGAGTAAGGAATGAGTAGCAAATCAGGACCAGCCTCACTACATAGATCATAAGAGATGTGTACAGGAAGCCAATAAACATTTAAGGTTCAATAGGAGTCTGCTGTATAACATGGAGTAGGGGCTCGCTGAGCAGGAGTGTTCTTATGTTTGTTTAAAGTAGAGGCATTCTTCACATCATGAATTCTTTCATTGTGAAATAATCAGCCAGAATGTAGCAACAAGATTCAAGTTGTTGACTGAGGGAATAAGAACAATAGACTCCAGAGGCCTTCAAAATATGTTAATTTAACAAATGAAAACATTTTAGTCATGCTCCTATCAAAACAAACAATGTGCAGCGGCCTCTAAACTTAGTCTGGCTTTCCTCCTCTCTGCAGGCAGGGTTCTTCCCTTTTCTCTGTTTGATGGACTCCAGTACACGCTTCTTAAAGGGAGGTACTCTTTGAATGATTTCCAGAACTTTGTCATCCCAAAGTTCTTTCTCTATTCGTGAAGCCACTTGATTTCCTCCGAGCTATAGCCGCTTTTGCTAAGCAAGACACATACTTATAAATTTGATCACTAACTGAGCTATCAGCCCCTTGAAGTCAAGAGACCTTAAAACTGTCTTCACTTCTGTGCCTTACCCAGTGACCTAACCAAGAGCTTGCAAAGAGCAGATAATCTAAACCATTTATTCTGGACAGTACACCCGAGAACACTTGTTGAGTATACTCGAGCAAGTGAGGAGTGACTGCATGTGACCAAGGGGTAATGGAATGAGCAGGCATGTGAATAAGAAGAAAAGCAAATATATCAGAAGCAGGTGACTATCTGAACCATAAATTCTTACCAGATCTCGGAATCGATCTGTAGCTTCTTCACTCACCCTGAATCCAGCAATGAGAGGGAATGGTTAGTCAGGAAAGAAAACTCCTTGTGGCTAGAAGGAGATCAAGACTTACCCTCTCACCATCTAAGAGCAAATGAGCCCGGAAGAGCATGACGTCATTTATGGGAACTTCTTCATTCCTGTATAAGATCTGGAAGACTCGACTGTGCACAGCACTCTCATGGACACAGGCCGAATGAAGGTTGCTGCTCTCTGCAAACAGGAAGGAAATCAGTAGGAGGCTGTAACCTTCAGAACCATCCTGCAAACACAGTCCCATCATGTATCTTTCTGGCCTTGGGAATACTGTGGTTCTAACCCACATTATAGTTGCCAAAGCTTAAGATCCCAAATTAATGAGCACCCACTACAGGAAGATCTGTGTTCACTGAGTAAATTGTGTTTCAAGAGAACCTTGTTCAATGTCTTATAAGCCGTATGACATTGGCAAAGTCACTCTAGCTGTGAGCAGTATTCCTGTCTAGAAGTTAGTGCCTGCAAAATTCTCTATCTGATCACATGTCAATTCTATGAGTCCTTTCACCTCCATCCAGGAATAAGAGTATGATGAATAAGCCAGAGAAGGCAGCCTTCTTTCTACGAAGCCTCCCTAAGTGCTCATAGCATCCATACTTCCTGCAAATGCTACCATATCTTGTGAGATCTGAGGAATGAATTTTAGGCAAATGTCACATTCTAATTGTATTGCTGAGAAGCACTTTAGTGAACCACATCATGTTGGAGCTCCAATGTGTTCTATTTCATAATCCCTAAGCAATATTTCAATGCTAAGTTTAATTCAAACAAGCACTAAAGTTAAGAAACCTATCTGCATTCATTCCCCAGGGTCTTCTGTGCATGAAATGGGTGTGTGCCTATAAATGCTTACCACACAACTTTAGAGTGAAAAACAATGAAATTATTTGAAGATAAAGAATGTCAAATTTATGCAAGACAATTATTACTTGCTAACAATAATGTCTATAAGACATACTTTGTAGCTCCAAAAGCACTTTAAATGTGTTTTTCTTAATCCCCAAGAAAAATTCTGTGGTAAGTATGCTACAGACTAATGCCCTAAAATTAGAGACAGTGTCTTAGTATTTCCTTATTGGGAATTGAATGCTTGTGTTTATCCCAAATTCACAGGTTAAAATATAAATTTCATGTGATACCACTTGAAGATTGTGGTCCTTGGGAGAAGACAAGGTTGTAAATGGTCTGGTGAGAATGATGGGATTCCAAAGAGGTATTTGTGTCTCTCAATATGACTATCCAACTTTCGTAACAGTGGAGACACCCAAGAACTGGGAGAGGGAATGAGAATTGTTACCCACAGGCTTTGGCTTTTGAACATTTGATCCCAGTTAGTGGCACTGTTTGGGGAGACTTAGAAAATGTGACCTTGCTGGAGGAAATATGTCACTGGGATCGGGTTCTGAAAGTAAAAACCCTCACCAACATTCAGCTTTTCCTCTCTTTCTCTTTCTTTGAAGTGGTGGTTGAGGGTGTGAGCTCTTAGATTCCTTCTCCAGCTACCAGGCCTGATGCTTGCTGCCATGCTGTCCCTAGCATTATGATGGATTCTAGCCTTCTGGAATTGCGAGCCAAAATAAATCCATTCTTCTATAAGCTGTCCTGATGGTGATGCTTTATCATAGCAAAGGAAGAGCAACCAATAGAAGCATGATTGAAAAAAAAGAGCTTTAAAAAGAAAGGAATTTGCTCAAACAGCAAATAAAAACTGTTCATGGTGTCTGAGTCCCTTGGAAATAAGGACCGAGAGGATTAGTGTGTTCTTTCAATGCTCAGTAGCATCCAAGCACACACTTCTGTAGCTAGAAATCAAAGACCATGTTAGATCCCATGCTGCCTGCAGGGCTACTAAGACCTGCCAGCTCTAATTTGTACATCATTAGGAGGAAATAAAATCACAGTCCTACTCCAGCTCCATTGAGACCTGTTGGATTCATGTTGACATGGCTTTTAAACAGAATCTCCCCTGTGTTCAGATCCCTGATTTTATTTCCCATGCTTCCTCTTCTTCCTTTCCTTTTCATGGCCTGGTTGATCTGTAAGTCAGACCAACAATGTGTAAGAGGATGGATGGAGTGAATACTCTGAAGGTCAGAGCAGCATGAACCGTCTGCTGCCAAGAGGGACAGCTGGCAAAGAAGCATAATCTGTTTCCTTTTGGGGGAGGTGCCATCATCTTTTATAACTGTAGCTTTTCTTGTGAAAAAAGGGCATATCCACACTAATCAAGTGGGAGTAATCTGTGTATAAAGAAGACCAAACAGGCCAGGATCCTACAACCTGGCACATACAGGGACTGCAGTGAAAAAGGTGATGGCATTTTAGCTGTGCTGAGAACTGGCTTTCTCAGTGGTTTCTGTGGAATACAGTGACATTAGACAGGTCTCTAAGGACAAATATCCTATAATTTAGATCAGATTGGCAGACTAGATCATAGAGTACCATTTGTCATCACTGAAGATCCCAAAGCCCCATAATACACTGTTCATCCCAGGACAGGACACTTAGCAGGTGTCACCAAACAAGAGGTTATATGTTTATTCCTAAGGGAAGGTACACTAATCACAAGACACTCACTCTGGTGGTGAATACCACTGAGATTTCACCTGCCTATGTAGCCCCATTGATATTCTCTCTCCTTCGGTGAGGGTAGTCCATGTGTGCATATCCCAACATTTCTCCCTCTTCTTGACATCCAAAATGGAATACCATTCTCTTCTAAGCAAAGCTATTTGTTCAAATAGTTTACCCTGGATCCCCTACTCTCTTTGTGCAGGTTTCCCCATCAAACTAGAGGGACCTATTCATAGCATCTATGCCTCTTCTTCCTCTCATGAACAGGCACAAGGAACCCACAAATGGTAAAAGGATATGACCTGCATCCTTCATAAACCTAATACACAGTGGGCAGACCTGGTGATAATGATCTATAATCCTAGCTACTCAGGAGGCAGAAGCAAGACAATTGTATGCCTGCCTGAGCTATATAATGTGTTCAAAACCAGCCAAGGTTAACTTGGTTACACCCTATGTCAAAACAAAAATTCAAAATGGACTAGAGAATTGTCAGAGTTACAGAAAAGTTACCTGGTCTCTGTAAGGGTTCAAGCCATGATACCACCAAATTGAAAAAAAGAAAAAACAAAAAACAAAAAAACCTAATGCACAAGTTGAAAAGTTGTCCTCTATTATCTTCTAGCTTTACACAATGAGCATACTCTGAGTATCTCTGAGTAAGCTATAAGAGGATGTACACTTAAGTTATCCCAAATGTATCTACTTCTCCATGTCAGGGACTGCTTTTGTGTATGAGGAAGGTAAAGGCTTTAACTGATAAAAAGAAAGGAGAAAAGGATTGGAAGAGGAGGAAGAAGACATTGGAGGAAAGAATGTGTCACAGAGGAAAGCAAACAGGGCAGAGAAAAGTACAGAGTTTCCCACTGTACATAAAATACTCTCAGCAGCTGTTCTTGGATTCAGATTAAAGGGCAAAAGAACAAAGTTTTATATCTTGAAATTTCTCTTTCCCCCTAAAATGAGTGATATGAGTACTTACATTATTTACTGACCTCTTAATGTTTAAAATTCAGCTGATGATCTTCCTCTGCTGAGACACCACACACACCCACTCACCCCCGCCCCACACACACGTACCCCAAAGACTATGTGAGCATGGATGACAAGCTACAACTGCCATTCATTCTACAAAACCCAATGCCAGCAGCACCTTCACAGGTCACTTATATGAACCAAATACAATACGGAATTCCAACCCTGGATTTCCTTGAGCTCAACTCATACCCTGTGAGAGAGTGCTGCCCACTCCCACTAGAAAGAATATTGGAAAATCCCCATCTGAGTGTGAGACCCTCCAGGGCCACCTGGAATTCAAAAGAAAGACTTCTCTTATTTGGGGTCTTTTTTTGTTTTTTCTTTTTTCTTTTTTTTTGCAGATTTTTTTATTGAATTAGAAACAAGATTGTTTTACATGAAAATCCCAGTTCCCTATCCATTACCTCCTCCCCTACTACCACCCCCACCCCAACTAAAACCCTACCTATCGCATATCCTTTCTGCTCCCCCTGGATGGTGAGGACTTCCATAGGGTGTCATCAGAGGCTATCGTGTCCTTTGGGATGGGGCCTAGGCCCACCCCCATGTGTCTTGGCTCAGGGAGTATTCCTCTAAGTGGAATGGGCTCCCAGAGTCCACATCTATGCTAGGGATAAGTACAACTACTGCAGGAGGTCACATAGATTTCTGAGGTTTCCTCACTGAAAACTGTGTTCTTGAGGTCTGGATCAGTCCCACGCTGATATCCCAAGTATCAGTCTGGGGACCAAGAGCTCCCCGATGTTCAGGTCAACTGTTTCTGTGGGTTTCACCAGCCTGGTCTGGACCCCTTTGCTCTTCACTCGTCCTTCTCTGCAACTGGATTCCAGTTGAAAGTTCTTACGGTACAGGTCTTTCACTTTTTTGGGTAGTGTTACCCCAAGGTATTTTATGTTGTTTTTTGGCAATTGTAAAGGGTGATGTTTCTCTGATTTCTTTCTCCACCAATGTGTCATTAGTATATGGAAGGGCTAAATATTTTTTTCAGTTAGTTTTGTATCCTGCCAATTTGCTGAAGGTGTTTTATCAGCTGTAGGAGTTCCCTGGTAGAGTTTTTCGGATCACTTATGTAGGCTGTCATATCATCTGCAAATAGTGAGAGTTTGACTTCTTCCTTTCAGATTTGTATTCCCTTCATCTCTTTTATCTGTTTTGATTTAATTTTGGTAAGTAAAATCTGTCCAGAAAATTGTTCATTTCCTTTAGATTTTTGAATTTTGAGGAATATAGGTTTTCAAAGTATGACCTCATGATTCTCTGGATTTCCTCTCTGTCTGTTGTTATGTCCCCCTTTTCATTCCTGATTTTATTGATTTGCATTCTCACTCTCTGCTGTTTGGTAAGTTTGGATAAAGGTTTGTCTATCTTGTTGATTTTTTCGAAGAACCAACTATTCATTATATTGATTCTTTGTATTGTTCTCCCAGTTTCCACTTTATTTACTTCAGCCCTCAATTTGATTATTTCCTGGCATCTGCTCCTCCAGGATGTATTGGCTTCTTTGTGTTCTGAAGCTTACAGTTGTGATGATAATTCTCCAGTGTGATTAATTTCCTGTTTCTTCATGTGGGCACTTAGGGCTATGAACTTTCCTCTTAGCACTGCTTTCAAAGTGTCCCATAAGTTTGGGTA